CAAGTTGATGTCTGTTACATGTAGATGTGGCAACATTTTGGTGATGGAAATATTTTTAAACGATAGATCACAACCATTTACATCGGTAATCAAAATTCAAAACTCCCATTTTTTGTTCCTTAGATGTCTAATAGACCATCGAATATGGAATACCCTGTATAATTTTCATCGACTATCTTGAAAAGGAAAAACCATGAACAGCGACTATTACATAGGGTTGTTGGGGCGTTAGAAGAATGAAATCGCGAAAAAACGGCCACATCTGAAAAAAGTGCTGTTTCATCAAGACAATGCGCCGTGTCAAGATGACAAAATTTCATGAATTGGGCTTCGAATTGCTGGCTCGCATCTAATTTTTTCTGTTCTCAGACCTCAACAGAATGCTTGATGAAAAAAAAATTAGGGCAGATGAAGAAACTGAGGACTGTTTTGAGGCTTCAGACAAATCGCACCATTAAAATGGAAGGCAACTAACTATATTGAATGATAAAATTGAATTTTATCAATTTTTTTCCTATTAGCCTACGAACTCCTCAGACCAACTCAAGTATCTATCTATCTAACATTCGAAATGATTCACAACGTCGCGTATATTTGTGAGGCCGCTGGAATCTATTTTTTTCGCATATAATTGATAAGAATTCTTATCGTATCAGTCCAAATACCTCTCCATTACCACAATACATGCGACTATTGTTTCAAACATTGAAATGTGTAGTTTAGGCTATCTACATATGGCTTTCGTGAACTTTTATGTATTCATAAAAAATGAACAATGTTTTCGATGAAAGTTTGTACGAGTAGCACCACTGATAAGGCTAATTGCACACACACCGATTGTGGACGGCCGATTTTATGGGACCTGGCACACATGTGCCAGGTGATCGGTACCGGTGATCGACGCCGATCACCGGTCGGCGTGTGTGCCAGGTCCCGTACCCACATGTGGTTCACTATTGGAATTTGGACGACCGGTATAAAATCGGCCGTCCAAAATCGGTGTATGTGCATTTAGCGTAACGCTAGTTGCACACACACACCGATTTTGGACGGCCAGTATAAAATCGCCCGATATTTTATTGGTAGCGGGTGCTTGCACACTCACCGGATTTTTATCCGGTCAAACAATCAGTTGCTTTGTTGTCGTAATTAGCACGCACTTCCAAAACGAAGTTAATGCATAGTGACTACAATTTCACCGAGCATTCGAGACTGGAATGGTCGGTAAAAAACCAGTGAGTATGCAAGAGTGTATTTAGTCATGTACACCACTACTTCCCGGTACTGCCGGCGATACAGTGGCAGTAGACGGCTGCTCACCGGTATTTTACCGGCGACGATCACCGGTCGGCGTGTGTGCCAGGTCCCGTTCCCACATGTGGTTTACTATTGGAATTTGGACGACCGGTACAAAGTCGGCCGTCCAAAATCGGCCGATATATATATATATTTTATTGGTAGCGGGTGCTTGCACACTCACCGAATTTTTATCGGTCAAACAATCAGTTGCTTTGTTGTCGTAATTATCACGCAAAACGAAGTTAATGCGTAGTAACTACAATTTCATCGAGTATTCGAGACTAGAATGGTCGGTAAAAAACCGGTGAGTATGCAAGAGTGCATTTAGTCATGTACGCCGCCACTACTTCCCGGTACTGCCGGCGATACAGTGGCAGTGGACGGCTGCTCACCGGTATTTTACTGGCGACGATCACAGGTAGGCATGTGTGCAAGGTCCCCTTACCACATGTGGTTCACTATTGGAATTTGGACGACCGGTACAAAGTCGGCCTTCCAAAATCGGTGTGTGTGCAACTAGCGTAACAACGCCATATTTCAACCAATTCTCATGAAACATTGACATACTATATATACACATTAATCTTCCTCTTCCACCATTGGTGAAAACTGTACGAAAATCCACCCAGGACTCTTCCTAATTCATTATTTATTACTAAATATAGTTTATCGCATTCAGACAGATGAACAAAAAACGACGAGGGACTTAAATTTACAATATGTATTGCTTACTTTAGTTTTCTTACTGTGAATAAAATCTTCATCATCTAATCAGATGTATGGCTGGTGTAGCTCGTGGAACCTCCTGTAGAAACATATTCGCACAACTCTCAATTCTAACAGTGCCTTCACTTCACATACTTTTTGATTATCATCAATGTCAAAAAAAGAAGAAAATTACCTGAGTAAAAGATGTGATTGATCTACACAAATACAGTACGAAAAATAGTAAAAGCATCCACCAGCCATACTCAAGTTTGAGCATTGGTCAGGACTCTTACATATACCAAGGAATCAGGTGCTATAACCGACGAATATATGCCCGCTGTGATACCCAGCGAAAGCAATGTATGGTAATATATTCGTGTTAGGAATCACACGTTAAAAAATAAGACCTCGTTAGTCCTTAGCTTGAACAAGTTGCTCAACTTCTGAGAGTTGTCGTTCGTATAGGGGCGACAGCTGACTAATGGAAAAACTGATTTTAAAACAGATTTTTTATATATTCTAATTTCGGAAAGAAGCAGATTTCTTCAATTCAGATTTTTTTTAACGCCAAATTTGTCTCTCATACAATAAACACTATTCATCGACATGGTTTGAAAAGATGCACAGTCAGATATATTTGTCACGTAGCTCGAAATGTAAATATGGGCATATCAATATACCAGCATTGAAAGTTTTGCCAACTCAGCGAAATATGTTTTTTTGGTGACCTCAGTTGCACGTGAGCGACTGTTAGAAAGAACGGTTGAATAGCAGGAGGGGGACGATGAATCTGTGATTTCTTCCTGGCTTTTTGAAAGAAGAAAACAAAGTTATGGGAGCTCTTCGCCTAAGGCAGAGGTCTTCGAGTGGTGCGAAAGTTTTTCGGGAAGTAAGTCTTCGTGAATTTTAAGGGGGTTCGGAATTTGAAGGGTTTTCTTGACGGTCGATCGGTGGAATCTTTAATTTTCTTATTCTTGGGAAACGGGCGGTTTGCGTGATTTTGGGTAGTCTTTTATTCTGAAGTAGGAACAAAGGAGCGTGCAAGGTTCGAGCAAAAATCGAGCAGTGTAGTGCAGAAGTTCAAATAGGGGACGAGCAGGAAAAAGGCAGCGGTGAGTTAAATATACATGTATCATTTTATGATTTTGGTAAGGAGTCAGATATAATAAATCATCGGCCAAGCAAGATTATTTCGTCACTCTCGTATATTATAGTAATTTCCGGTGAAGGCAAAAATACAGAGTTTTTTGTTCTTTGTCTATTTTGTTATACAGTGTCATCCCCAAAGTATGCATCATATGGGAAACTTTTTTATTAAGGGTTTTTCGACAAAAAATTATTCCTGATAAAAGTTTGTGCATCCCCTAAAACTGAACATGCACCAACAAAATATAGTTAAACACACGTAATATACGAGGATCCTTCAAATATTTGATTTTGAGACAAGAGTAAAGTTCTCTCATTTTGAAAAAACTTGGGAAATGTTGTTCAGCATTGGAAAATATCGTTTTAGCCATTTTTTTTTCATAGTGCCGGTTAAAAAAAAATGGGTACAAAAATAAAACTCCACTACGATGGCCCTAACTTCAAATCTAGATGTATTTTTCAATGCTCAACAACTTTTTTAAATGACATTTTCCGAATATTTCCAAAATGAGAATACTTTACTCCTGTCTCAAAATCAAATATTTGAAGGCTCTTCATATATTACGTGTTTTACTGTATTTTGTTAATGCATGTTTAGTTTTAGGGAATGCACAAACTTTCATCAAGAATAACTTTTTGTCGAAAAAACTTTAATGAAGAAGTTCCCCATATGGTGCATACTTTGGGGATGACACTATAACTTTTTTCTTCATTTTATTTATTATTGAATATAGAATTTTCTGAAGGTTTTAAGCAGGCTTTTATTTCAAAATCCAACATAGTAACCTTTTGAAAGGAAGTGTCTGCAAATGTTTTAAGATCTTTTGCCTCTGCAACTAAAGACCTCCTAGTGCAGGAGGCGGAATTTAAGCCTCTTTCGGATTTGCCTGATATCCAAAATTTGATGTGGAGAAATTCGCATCTGGTGACAGTAGCTGCCAAATTTTATTTGAATAAAACAAACACGGCAATAGCGAAAGGGTTACCAAGGGTTGATTGACAGTTAATGACATATTATTTCACTGTGATTGTTCGTGAGTAAAAGTTTTCGTTGCTTGCTAGCATTTTTGTGTTATCGAAATTGATGTTATGTCCTGTTTGAAGTACGTGTTGGAAGAGAGAAGACGTGGTGACTTTTCCCTTCACTGCTAGTTTGTGTTCATCTTTGCGAATGTTGATTCGTTTGTTGGTCTGACCGATGTAAGTCCTGTCACAATCATGGCATCATGCCAAGCTTTCGCTTCTAATGGGAAGCTTCTTCAGGGCAGTAAAAATGAGTTAAAAACAATAAATTGAACATATAAACTGACGGAGAAAGTTGAACATACTCAAATAAGCTCAGCAAGTTCAAATGTGTTGAAGGATAATCTGACTCGTTATCTATTAAATCAATTCTTTTACTCCATTGAAGAGTTATTAGACCTCACATTGTAGAGATTTCAATCCAATTGTATGTATATTTTTCATATTTAAAATAGTACATTTCTGATTTTTTTTTGCCTTGTGACTAGTCCGATAAGTTTTTTGCATGTATCTATGTATTCTCTCGTATGGATATGTGAATTCTTCAGTACTTATGATGCACTGTTTGGAACCTTCGGTGTAGTAATGAATATTATTGGAGTTTTTTCCAACATCAAACACGTGTCGAGGTGTTAAAAATAACGATTTGGTGTTGGGAAAAAACTCCAGTAATATTCAAATTCTTCAGTGATGAATAAATAAATTCCAAATTCTAAATTTCACATATTATGAAATGAGTTGAAAAATATTACTATAAATTTTGAAAACTAAATGAAACTTTTTACTGCCATAATATTTTTCAAAATTCATATATTTCAACTTACATGTTACCCTGCCTTGCTGCTAAATATAGTTGAGTGCTTATAGAACCCGGCGAACAATTGGAACCTCCGCACATTTTTTTGTAAATATCTGGATCGAAGTAGTCTATCGGTCCTTTCGTCACCCAATAAACAGGTGCACCCACTCCCAGCATGCTTTCCATGAACTGGAATCAGGAAATACATTGTGAGTACATTATTATTACAACATTCTTTCAGAATCTTCATAACTACAGCTAACCGTGCGGTCAACCTTCGAAGTTCTAGTGCGATTGGGTGACTGGAAATAATTTACCTGATTCATGATTATATTAGACGAATGTGCAACAGTTGATCTCAAAAATGAACGATGCAGGGACTGCGCATTGGATGTACATCTCGTGGATAAAATCACCCAGCATCATCTGGATTCTGAAGAGACGTTACCTCGGGGTGGAAAACGCCACTCACAAGAGGTAACAATAGCGAATAACTCTATCTGCGGCAAGTATCAGCACACACTCCGACAGATCTGGTCATCAGAACTGTCGGAGGAGAACAGAGATTCTGCTACGAATATGCTTGCCGTTTTATTCAAACTCTACTCATTTGGAGTAGTGAAATGGACTCGGTAGGAGCTGTATCAACTCGATGTGAAGACCTGAAAAATAATGCAACTCTATGGGAGTTTGCATCCCAAATCGTCCGTTCCATGGTTGTACTTCACCCGACAACAGGAAAGTCGTAGATGGAGCTTGTGAAGTCAACAGGTTTTCGGATCCCCTTCTCTGCATGGTCCGTGACCATGAGAGAGCAGGAACTGGAACATTTTTCTCTTCAACACTGAATGCACGGGCTCTACTTTAACACGTGGGCTCATCAAAGCACCTGACTTTCTCTTTCACAGGTTAAGGTGTCTCTTTCCACAGGTCAATCTACCGCAGTCACATGATTGATATAACTGAACTGAATGGCTGATTGTCCAAGGTACGGGATAATGGGCGTTTAATCCTCGGTACTATAAACGCCCAGGGCCTCAGTAGAAAAAGATATCACACTAAAACCCTCCTTCTCATCCAAGAAATCCAAATCCTTTGTATCACCGATACCCTAACCAAAAACCCTCCCAACTTCTCCGGTTTCAACATTACCCACCGACCAAAAGATCAACATTCCCTTGGCATTGCTATCTTAACCAAAAGGGGACTAGCCCACAAAAAACACAACCTTCCAACTATCCTATCCGAACTCGATTGCCTGGCGATCGACCTACTTTCTAACACCGGCAACATAACTATCATAGCTTACTACAATCACCCAACACAATCTGTTTCCAGAAAGTTAATCGAATATTCAGCTTCTCTCCCCAAATCATTCCTAATAGGAGACTTCAACTCTCTGCGTATTCAATTCGGAGATTCTACCTCCAACGCCAACGGCCGCCTTCTAGCCAACCTCCTGATCGAACACAATCTTTACAGAATTCCCTGCCCCGATCCGACGTTTCTGAGCCACCGTGGGGCTTCTACCATCGACCATATCTTGTGCTCTGAGAGCCTGATAGAGGAGGTCGATGACTTGGCCTATATCGGTGACACAATTACGTCGGATCACTTCCCCATTCTTGTCAGAACTTTTCGAAACTTTACTATTCCTTCAACTCCTGAAACCATTTCCAACAAAACCATAAATTCACAGACGTGAAATGATTCCACTCCCTCATCAATCAAAAACTTTCTTCCCTTAACAATCCTCCCCTCAACCATCCCAGACAAATTGACGCACAAATTGATACAATTAAAAAAATTATTTCTGACTCAGAAGACTTATCCACGCCAACCACAACTAGACGAATCGATCAATCCCCACTTCCACCTTATCTCATAACTCTCATCAAAAGCAAATGTAAACTCTACAGAACTTTCGTCCGAACTAGAGACCCAGTCCTGAAAACCGAGTGGAATCGACTTAACGCACGCATACGTCTCCTCATCAACCAATTCACCCAGAAAAGGTGAATTGAGGAGACTAAAAAACTTGACTACCGAAATGGAAGAACGGCTTTCTGGAACGAATTCAAAGTCCTTACTGGACAAAAATGGAAAACCAACAGTCACCTAGTGATTAACGGTAACATCACTTCCAACTCATCCGACAAAGCAGAAGCCTTCCGCGAAAATCTCGAACACACATTCCGTCTCCCTAAAGACCCTCATTTCGATAACCTCCTTCTCAACTACATTCACCAGCAAGTGCCTGCACAGCTGGGTAGGCACCCAGGTCAAATTCCTCTCGACGTCAACTGCCCCTTAAGATCCCCATTCAGTGAGGAAGATATCTTCAAAACAATCCATAGCGGTAGAAATACCGCTCCTGGCCCAGACTCGGTGAAATGTCGATTACTGAAAAACCTTCCCGATTCTGCAATTCCTTTCCTCAAACACATCGTTGATGCATGTCTTGTACACGCCCACTTCCCAAACGCCTAGAAACAGGCTGACACAATCTTAATCCCAAAACCCCTCAAGGATCTCACAAATCCTGACTCCTACACACCTATCAGCCTGCTTAGTTGCCTGGGCAAATTGCTGGAACGACTACTGACTAACCGCCTGAACGACTTTCTCATTCATCATAACATTATCCCTTCACACAACCATGGTTTCGGGCCTGAACACTCCACTCAGAACGCACTAGTCGAACTACATACCCATATATCCCAAAACATCAACGCATCTTTTTGCACTATTGCAATATCTCTTGACATCCAAAAAGCTTTCGACAAGGTCTAGCACGCGGGTCTGATCTGAAAGCTTATCCAAATTCGTCTCCCCCATCACTTCATCAGACTAGTAGCTCCCTATTTATCTAACCCACAAATCCGCGTTAAAGTCAGCGAAGCCTTATCCTCCCCTTTCACTCCCAAAGCCGGTGTCCCACAGGGCTCAGTCCTCGCTCTATCCTTATTTCTCATCTATACTCACTACGTTCCCACAACCCAAAAAATCCTTCAGTATGCCGACGACACTATCATTTACTCCTCCGCTCCCAACACCCGCAGCTTGCGAATTCAAGCTCAAAACATGATCGACCATTTTGAGCAGTGGTGCAACAAATGGCGTATCAAAATAAATTCCACCAAAACCCAAACTATCCTATTCAGACATCCTAACACCTCTACCCGTCCTAAATTAAATCTTGATAACCTGGGTCTCAGACTTTTAGGAGAAAACCTCATACTCCAGGATTAGGTGTCCTACTTGGTGGTCACCTTCACGAGGACCCTCAACTGAGGGGCCGACCTGAGAGAGACACTGGACAGAGTCCGGAAGAGAGCCAACCTACTAAGAGCTCTTAGAGGCAAGCTTGGGAGATGCGACAGTAAAACTCTCCTTCACACTTATGAAACTTTCATAAGACCAGTCCTAGACTACAAAGCGATGATATATTGTACGCTTCCCCCGAGACTATTCCACCGTATCCTTACAACCGAGAGAACCTATATAACCTCATCAATACTACACCAATCAACCAACGATTTCAGGAACTTCAAGGACGATATGCTACCAGAACGATGAGCAGCGAGAACACCCATGCCACCAACTCGCTTACAATGCCTTGGAATCCCCGTGGAGGATCCAGAAGGATACCCAGGAGAAAGCTCCCGTTTTCCCCAGCCAGACTCCTGGGAGCAATGGAAGACCCGCCGGAGCCGATCCAGGATATTCTAAAGGAATTCCCACTGGGAATCAGCGGACAGCAGCGTCCTGAAAAAAGCCGAAATCAAAAGTTCTTCACCCCCGACAGCCCCGGCCTAACAACCCGTACCTGAACACCTCAAACACCATCACCACTGCAACGGACCCGGACTACCCTACGGAACAACGGAATAAACAAGAAAAACAATCGGAACACAAAACAACACAACACTAGATATCGATACACAAAGACACAACAATAGACACCAACACACAAAACAACACACACACATACAACCCACTAACCCTGAAGAGGCATGAGCCTATAGCAGGGCCCCACACAAACACACCTACACAAATATAATGCTATTTTTATTAAAAACTTGAATGAACGTTTCTGAACTGAACTGAACTGAGCATGTTCAGCATATGCGATCTCAGTCTATATCCATCGTCAAAATGCGACCCTAAAACTGTTTTCGCACCCTCAGGTGAATACAGGCTAATAAGTCTGATATATTTCTTTTTGAACATCAGAGTAGGACGATATTTGTGGTGACCTTTTCAGCTCCGGATGAGAGAAATATGGTCCTGAGCATCTGCTTAGGGCGCTAGAGCTCACTTACTCCACGTGTAGGAAGAGGTCTCTGATTGATGATGCTGGCGCGTCCTCACGAACGTATCTGGACTTCGGAAACAGGGCTCAACCTTAGGGGATGAATAATAATATTTTTTATTTGCTAAACTAGGCAATTTATGATGACAAAATCAGGTTTTCTAAATCCAAATAAACATAGTTGTTCTCACTGAAGGAGTGTATAATTTGCATTATACGCACCTTGTTTGTGAACATATAAATATTGAATTACACAAAAAAAAACTTTCATGTAATGCTATGAATGAACTTAGTACTTGAGTAATCTACGAATGATAACTGATTCAGTTCCATAACACATAACAAATGTTTGGAGTACAAACCGAAAGAAAAATATGATTTGGTTATAATTCATTATCCACATGAAAAAGCTCCAGGAGGGCTTTTTCTGCCAGTTTGTATCTGAAAGAATCTTTTATGCATAATTTACACAGTTTTGTAAATGTAGAGTTTATTTTGAATTCAACTGCTTTATTTTCGAAATTTTTTGTGGAGATGTGGAGAAGTTAAAGCAAAAAAGTTTATTCCCAATTAAATGGGTTTATTTATCTTTAAAATCAATGTTTTACTTGAATGTAAATTTTTGTGTTACTCTCATCGTCTAATTTTAGACCTATCTCATGTAAATGATCAGGGAGACATAGTAGTCTACGATAATTTAACGAAAAGCAAATGAGAAAACAATAAACATACATACCTCAAAATATTTAAGGACATGGCTTCCTTGAGGCATCGTCAATTTCTGATCTAGCCCAATATCTATCCAGGAGCTTACCAGGATTGAAGCACATAAACTCAACGTGAAAAACAACATGATGATGCATCTCACGGGATATCTGAGAAAAAAAGATTTTACATAGATATGTACACATTGAGTTTTTTATATTAGTTACCCAGACTTAAATCTGTTTAGGAACATCATAAATGATTCTTTCAGAAATAGGTAGAGGATTCTTAGTCTTTCATTTACAGTACGTTAGTGAAAATTTGATGATTTTCAGNAAAGGAATAACTATTGTTTTTTTTAGTGCTGTTGGCCAGAAACCTGTATCCATACACATATTGAAAATGAATGCCAAAGGCTCCTCGATATACAAGGAAATGGATTTCAACGTTTCAGAACAGATACCGTCAATTCCAGTGGATTTTTTTGGCTTTAGATCTTTGATAACCTCTTTGATCTCATATCTGTTGGTAGGAAGAAGAACAAAAGAATTTGGTACAGTTTCAGGGAAATATAGGAAATTTGGGTTTTTTTTTTTTTGAAATAGTTCAAATGCGTGCAAAGTAAACCAACAGTTTTCAGAAAAATATCCCTTTTGGTAAAATACTATATTTTGTGCTGAACGCAATGAAGTTTAATTTATTTGAAAATATCTGATAGAAGTAATGTACTTATGTGAAAACCCACTAACCTTCTATAGTGTATCCATACGGATATAAAATATTAAAGAATTTGAATCAGAGCTTACTTCATTATGAATGATGTGTAGTAATTGATCCAAAACTTCTGCAATAGGCTGGAAGAGTTACCATCTTGAGGATTATCGGTTTTGATACAGCAAAACAAATCCATTCTATTCGCCTGCAAAATAAATTAACAAAAATGTGGTAATCGACATTTATTACGGCATTATTGTACAGAATCTCAGAAAGCAGTGCTTAATTGCTCGTCAAAGAAAAAATTAACATCTTTTTTCGGATGAATTGATCTGAAAGGATAAGTTACATTCGATAGTAATACTGATCACAACACAACAAAGTTTTTGTTTCGGGGTTGAAATTAGATGATTTTAATGTATTTCCACGTGTTAAAACCGAAAGTGACCATAAAAATTAAAATATTCTAAAAGAAACATAACAATATTGTTTTATGTACTTTCACTTTTCACGTATAGTATAACTACTCTTTAAGATTAAGTACTGTGAATCTCAAAAACCAGAGCTAATAAAAATTTTTCATTGTTATTTTCGTTTTTATCACCCCAAAATTAGACTAATTTAGTGTAGGAAACATTCAAAAAATATTTTTTTGTTGTGTTGTGAATAATAATTATTATTCAGTTATTCAAATGAATATAAGAGGAACAATTCAACTTAAATTCACAGATGAACGAATTCAATAGAAAATTATCAACAAACAACAAATTACAAAAAAATTTCGACTATTTTCAGATATATATGAATTGGAATTTTTTGATTAACATTACGAATACAAATGAATTTTCACATAGAAAGTAATATTTCATACCTGATGCCTTTCCACGTCTAGTGATAGGAGAGCTACGAATGCTGTTATTTGAAATATGAAATTCAATAAAACAGCTAACGTGGCATATAAAGCAAATGTATGCACAGCTGGCATGGGCGATAGGCAACCTGCAATTTTTAATATTCCTCAATATTAGCCATCAAGAGTACTTTTCAATAATCATATGAAAAAAAAAACTTTCAATAATTGATCGAATCTGTGCTGAACTATTGACACAATACTAGATGAGCCGAAAACTTCGCAAGCAACGCATAAATGGCGATACTAGTATCAATTCCATATGATTATTAGTTAACCCTAACCTTCAAAAGACACGTGTATAGTCGAAGTAAACGATACCAAAAAAACCAATACATAGAAATGAACCGGCAACGAACTACTTCATGTGGACTGTAGACTTGGCAGATATTTTCGAAGAATGGTTTGAAAACATAGTGATCCCAAATTTGGTTGCGAATAGTGTAATAGTCCTTGACAACGTTTCCTATCATTCGCGACAGCTCATCAAAGTATCGAATAAAAATTCGAAGAAAGATGAAATACAAAGTTTTTCAATGGATAACAATTTTGAATATTAATATACTAAAAACCAACTGTTTAAAAAAAATCTGTTTGAAATCTCTTTTTCCGTTAACCAGCTGTCGCACCCCTACGAACGACAATAGTCAGAAGTCTAAACTTGTGCGAGCTAAGGATTAACAAGATCTTACCTTTTGACGTGTGATTCCTAACTACTTGAAGTTTTACAGACAAAAACATTTGAAAATGTGTATGCACCTGAAAGTATTGCTAAAAAGTATGGACTCACCATACTGAGACTTCCACACACAAACATAGGGGATGTTTGTGTTTCCAATTCCATCGAGTTGATTTGGGGCGTAAAAATAATTTTGCAGAATTTATTGAGAACGTAATACAGCTAATTAAAGAATAAGTATCTAATATTACCGAAAAAGACTGACAGAAAAAGATTTAAAAATTGATTTTAGTCAAAAATTACTACATGGAGATTGGACACTTCCATATCAATGGTGGGAATGAATTCATTATTGCGTAACGAAGTTAATAATTTCCCCAGTGCTACGTCAGGTAGAAACAGTTTTTTTTTGTGTTTATATTATTGCTCCGTTATTTATTTGACCCGACTGAATGAATACCTTCCTCGATAAAATTGCCATTCTGGCTAATGGTGAAACCGTCATAGTTCCGATAACATACCAAGTTGAGATACAGTTTCACAACCACCGTTTTAAAGAAACATTTGGACACTTATGTGGACTCTCCACTGATATGGTCATAGAAATGGACATCCTCCGGAAGAGACAGTTCAGCCTGGATCTAGGAAGTCGTGAGATCTCTGTGAATCACCACCCAGTGGCCATGGAAACTAGGTCCGTCCCTTGTTTCCCTATTGGAGTCACTGAGCCAAGGCCACCATTGACTCTCACAGAAGAGGACAAGACCCGACTGCACACTTTCCTACAGGAAGAATTGCAGGCATTTGAAGAAGTACAAGGAGTAACGCCTTTGATTGAGCACAGGATCCGCCTTTCAAATCCGGAACCAACAAAACAACCGTTCCGCTCCCGACCAACAAAACGACCGTTCCGCCCTCGAAGACACCGGAGCTCACATTGGAGCAGTCGGAAGACCGATGACTCGGTATTGTAACTTCATGTTCCATACGATCCGACTCTGCGTCAAGCAGCCCTCTCCACCCATATTTCGTGGAACATCCGGAGGAAAATCCGTTTGAGGATAGATTCTTACCCCTTAAATGAAGGGTTCGGCCATTGAAAGGGGTAGGCACCTGAGCGGTTTTCTTTCTTTTTTATTCTCGGGAAATGTTGTGTTCTTTTGTTTAGCTCACGTAAATTTACTTAAAAAAAAATGTAAGTTGACACATTTTTTTCCCGAAGTGGGAAGAGTGTGTAACGAAGTTACTAATTTCCCCAGTGATTTTCCCATGAAAATCAAAAAATGAATAGATAAGTACTTTTTGATCATTCCAATATTGATTTCAATTTAAGAGCCACCGGTAGACAGCTGTTTCAGCCTATTGGGCATCGTCAATACCGGGCAGGCGGTCCTCAATTATTTGACCCCGACTGAATGAATACCTTCCTTGATAAAATTGCCACTCTATGGCGATAGAAATCTCAGGTCGCCAATGCGAATTGCCACTCTATAGCGATAGGAAACTGTACTCTGCCGGGTCGCCGAGGAGATTTGAAAATCATACGTTACTTGTTAATTTACCGTACCATTGAAGAAGGATACTTCTCTCCCATCACCAAACACCGCCGTAGGATTTTATTTCAAATAATCTCGAGAGCATCTATCAAGGGAGTCCAGGAGTTCAGTTGAGTTTTAGTCTCAGTTCCAGTTCCAGCTACGCTCGAGTCCGACCCCGATAAATAAAGGCAAACCGATAGACAAAAAAAAATAGCAGGTACCCAGGATTCGAACCCAGGACGGCAATTAAAGCCGGCCGTACTGGCTACAGTTGATTTAGTCAATACCATAGTGGCCCCTGGTGTATTACCTTCTTCACTGACGCTGTCCGGAGCACGTGGAGCACACCACGCCGAAAGCTATCGCCCGAGGCAACTCGTAACCTGAACTCGGCGTCAGAAAGGTTAATGCAGTCAAGCTGCTGGAAAGTAATTCCATGAAAATCAAAAAATAAATAGATAAGTACTTTTTGATCAATCCCATATTGATTTCAATTTGAGAGCCACCGGTAGACAGCTGTTTCAGCCTATTGGGCATCGTCAGTACCAGGCAGGCGGTCCTCAATATGGGAATGATCAAAAAGTACCACAAAAAGTAATATATATATACAGGTACTCCTGTTGCTTTAGGTAAATTTGTCTGTATTTGGATTACAACAGGTACTATTCTTTGTGTTAAATCTTCAATAGGTTTATTGTTTCTAGGCGTGTATGTTGATTTGTTCAATATATTGAATGTTAGGTCTTGTTGTGTTTTGATTTGTACTTGTTCATCGATAAGTGATTTTTGACTGTGGAATTTATGGATGTTCAAGTTTTCCCAAATGTCCATGCGGTTTCCCTTATTGACTTGTTTTATGAGTTTTATGTTCTCTGGTGGGGGAAAGTTATGTTTGTTTTGTATGGCGTGTGTTGCGAGGTTTGATTTATATACTATTGGATTTATGTGTGCCTTTTTGTGCTCATTGTACCTTTGGATCAGTTTTTTCTTGGTTTGGCCGATATAGAACATTCTATATATGAATGCGTTATATGCAGCCATTTTTTGTGATGGTGGATGGTTTGAACTTGCGGGTAAGGTGGAGCTTGTTTGTGTAGGTTTCCTGTATATGGCCATTTGAAGAAGACAAAAACTAAAACGGGATATACAGTATACAATGCTCGGACTGCAACAAATTCTATATCGGCCAAACCAAGAAAAAACTGATTCAAAGGTACGATGAACACAAAAAGGCATACATAAACCCAATAGTACTTATATAAATCAAACCTCGCAACACACGCCATACAATACAAACATAACTTTCTCCCACCAGAGAACATAAAACTCATAAAACAAGTCAATAAGGGAAACCGCATGGACATTTGAGAAAACTTAAACATCCATAAATTTGACAGTCAAAAATCACTTATCGATGAACAAGTACAAATCAAAACACAACAAGACCTAACATTCAATATATTAAACAAATCAACATGCACGCCTAGAAACAATACACCTAGAGAAGATTTAAAGAATAGTACCTGTTGTAATCCAAATACAGGCGAATTTAGCTAAAGCAACAGAAGTACCTGTATTGAGGCATTCAAATTGTATAGAAAGACACACAACAGGATCACACGTTCAGATAGAATAGTGCCTAGAGGATGACAGCACGACCAGCTGTCGAAAGCGCTCGCAGATAATCAAATAGAAGTCATAGAGCTTCAAATCCTTTTTGTAACTTACATTAATAGTAAAATACTGGCCTCAAAGTGAAGTTGATCGAGATAGCTGAGGCTCTAAAGAAAATTGGATAAGAGTATTCACGCACACATGATGACGTGATAGCAGAAATACTCTTACCTGGTTTTTTAATGAACTTTTTCCAGGGGGTTATCGACAACTGCTACCAACAAACAGACGAATGATTCTCTGAGAAGTACCGAAACGCGACAGAATGACAACTTCCGCGTAAGCCTCGGCAGGAAGCGGAAAACTATAGATGAGGCTGATATAAGGCGTTTTTGAGTGGAGAGCCAACCGCCAACACCATCGGGGGCGTCTCCCACTGTCCCATCGGGGGACTGTGTGGAGGCGCTTTTCTCTTCAGTGCGGAATTCTTGAGAGCGCAAATGTATCGGGGTCTTTTCCTGCCACTCCCTCTACCCCATTCACTACCCATCCCAATCCTTCCCATTGTCCCACTCCATTGGGGAAACCCTTGTGTACATTTTGTATATTTGTATATATATTTTTATTGTATATATTTTATAAACACCACAAAAAAAATACCTTAAAATTGTATGGAGAATAGTTAATAAAGAACATTTTGATTTTGATTTTGATTTCTAAAGATATCAAAGGAACATGTTGGACATATCGTGCATGAACACTTGGGTATGCGAAAGCTCTGTTCAAAGCGGGTGCCGCGCGACCTCACAATCGACCAAAAACAACAAAGATTTAATGATTCTGAGCAGTGTTTGAAGCTGTTCTATACCATAGGATTCAAATTTTGGGTCGATATGTGATACTGGATGAAACATGGCTCCATCCTTTCACACCAGAATCAGAAACGATCGGCATCTCAGTGGACTGCACGTGGTGTGCCAGGACGCAACATTCGGCTGGCAAGGTTAAGGTATCCGCATTCTGGGATGCGTATGGTTTGATATTCATCGACTATTTTGAAAAGGAGAAACTATCAACAACGAATATTACGTAGCGTTACTGGAGCGATTGAAGGACGAAATCGCATAAAAACGTACCCATTTCAAGAAAAAAAGTGCTGTTTCATCAAGACATTATGCCGTGTGACATATCAATGAAAACTATTGTAAAATTGCAGCAATTGGTCTTCGAATAGCTTTCGCATCCACCGTTTTCTTCAGATCTGGTCCCTAGTGAATTGAATGAGTGAACATTTTCACAGAAAACTGTTCTGTCTGTTCTATTTTTCCGTTAATCAGCTGTCGCCCCCATACGAACAATAACTCTCAGAAATTTAGAAACTTGTGCGAGCTAAGGACCAACGAGGTCTTACCTTTTAACGTGTGATTCCTAACACGTTCCTAACTAGTCTTTGGAATTTTTGTAAGGTAACGTATTGTTCAAAACGACATTTTGTGATTTTTTTCGGAGTACTGCCACAAAAGTGACTTTAAAAGCATTGAAAACTTGGGAAAATGAAGAAACTTGTCATTTGAACAATGTACAGCCAAATTATAGAAACGTAGACGTTTATTGAATATTGATTCATTGTTCGAAACAAATGTAGGTGTTATTGATGCTCGAATTATACGTCTTTATCGATTACCAGAAGAGTAGGAAGTATTTTATATCTTTTGGAAAAATGTTGATGAACCCGAAACATTTCTGGAGTTAACTTGGTTTTACTGGAGTTTTTTCATATCATTGATTCTGCTTTATTTATTCCAGGAACATATAAGGGCATTATATAAAAAATTATTATTATTTATAGAATCAAATACTTCTTTATTGTTGATAGAGTTGATTGACTTACTTATTCCGAAACAAAGTATTTCCGATATACTTGTCAACACCATACTGGGTCCAACTTTGCTCATTGTTCGTCCAATACATTCTGCTACATCATTATTGTTGCTCCTGCAATATAGAACAATATATAGAATATTTTGTTTATCGTCAAAGTCGAATACGGAGTAAACATTGTCATTCGACGAAGTCGACTCAGTGAGGACGCAGCTTTAGAGTTGACACATCTCTCATCATTTTTTAAAACCATGAATATAAATGTGAGTATTGTTTTTTTATAGATTAGGGCAGAAAATTCAGAATGAAAAGTGATTCATTTAAATTTTTTCTATATTTCTTTCATCCTCGTTAATTCACAGCTCGCACGCTCTTCAGCCGACTTCTGAGGGTTGTTGTTCGTAGGGGGTTAAAAACATATTTTGTCAGATTTTTTCTTAGATTGATCATCATTATTATCATCATATACCATTTTAATGACGAATTATTTCTCTATAGTAATAATACTTTCCCTTATGAAAAATGAGAAATTGAACTTTCTATATTTTTACCACGTTTATTTGTAACTATCATTACTGCAGTTTCGTCCTATATGGACATTTTATAAAATGAGAAATGAAACTTTCTATGTTTTTAGCACTTTTATTTGTAACTATCGTTACTGCAGTTTCGTCCTATATGGACATTTTCCTATATTGACATTGAATTTGAAAATGTTACCGCAGTTTCGTCCCATATGGACATTCTCCTATATAGACATCTCATAAAATGAGAAATGAATTTTTCTATATTTTGCCCACTTTTATTTGTAACTGTCGTTACTGCAGTTTTGTCCTATATGGACATTGACCTTAAAAATGGCCATATAGGACAAAACTAACGGCTACATCATTCAATTTATATTTTCCATTGTTTGTCAGTTAACTATTCTGCTCAAATTGTTTTAATTTTATTGATAATCGCTATAAATCTTATAGAAATGTATATTTTTTTATAATACACACAAATATACTCACTTAGATCTTTGATAAGTTTGAACTATAATAAATATGTTGTCTACTCCAACTGCTAGTACCAAGAACGGTATAACTTCAATTGTTATCATGGTGGTTGTTATCCCAAAAAATGCAAAAACACCTATTGAACAAATCACCGAGATGAAGACTATTATAATTCCTCCAAAGGCCAGGGATATCCTCGATTCAAACTGAAAGAACGGAAACAAGAAATTCAGCTACCTGACAGACCAGACATAATACATTATTCTTATTCTTATAAAAACAACACTTGCCCACACAGCACCAGATATTCATGGAATATTCCCTGTATATCATAAAACGAACGTATATATTCCAAATATTCATAGAATATTCTTGGAATATATGCATGCCTTTAGAATATTCATAGAATATGCTTGAATGAATATGGCAGGATTATTCCCGAAAGAATGTGCATAGAATGTCTATAAATGGATTATTCTCCCTTGAATATTCTAAGAATATTGTCGATCGAATATACCATATGGTATATTCTTAGAATATATCCCCACGCTATATTTTGGAATATTCTATACAATGGAATTTTGAATTATCTTATAATAACGTAACCTATTCAAATAATTCAATATTATTAAAAACAAAAATATTTGAAGATCTTAATCGAATGCATAACCTAATGTATATAACCCTGATAGTGTTAACCAGTTTTTGAACTCAACGCGAAGATTCTGAATGAATTGCTCCAACAGCAACTGTTGGAAACGACAAAAAAATTTGAATGGGCCAATAAATGAACCAATTGCATCAATAAATTGGGTAATTCTCATCCTATTTGTTTTTTTGTATTTGAAATTATTTAATTACGAAGCGAAAAATCCTGGAAACAGAGAAATGGGAAAGTTAAGAATTGGAGTAAACGTTTCTCATTGGTCAATTGAAGTGTAGCGCGCGACAGTCGAATAAGATCTGTGAAAGCGGCTGTCCCTTAATGCTTGGTACCTTTGCGTTAAATTCGACATTTGATTCAACATGGCGGTTGACGTGGCAGGTTCGCGTGTGTAATGCATAGTGTGTTGGTGTTATTATCAAAGTATAATTCTGTCACGTTCAGTGTACCATTTATAATTTGGGGTTGTCCAATTTGCAGTACAGCGAATAGTTTGATTTTGGATCTTCAAACAGGAGAGTTGCATAAATTCAGTCTTCAAGAAAAGTAAGTAAAATGCAATAGTATCGATAGTATCGATATGAACAAGAGTTATTTCAGTTGTGTATCTTCAATAGAGAAAAGTAAGTGAATGACACATTCTTTTGTATCATTTGTTTTCATAATTTTTATCACTCTTCTTCAAGATAGTATCAATTTGCCCAAAAGGAAACAGAGTGGTACCTGGTACAGGCAGGTGCGCCAACGAACTGAAAGAGTAATGAGTACTTTTCAACAAGGAAATGCAAGTTGCTCTCCAAGTCATAAAATGTTGTAAATGTTCATAAGTAACCTATGCGAAAAATATCTATTTGATTTTTATTCCAGTTTTATTGTGCCACTTTCAAATAGTGATAATGAACGTTGATGTACATTTTGTTCCAGGTATTACTATTGAAACACTGGCTGATGCATTGTTGGACAAATATAAGGAAAACTATTCTGATGAGCAAAGTTTGGATAACTTTAAGTAAGTGAAATTCATTGAAGAACCCATCATACCACTCATTTTAAATATTTCATTTGTGGGTTTATTTTTTCAAGTGAGAAACCTAACCTATTTCTTGATGTAATTCATTTTTTCTTCTTCAATGAAATGATTTATTATTTTTTAATTAGTGCTGATGAATTCACAGAGTTGTTATTTTAGTTATTCAGGAATATTAAATATTTTGAATAAGATTTTTTATTTTTAATATTGGTTGAAACGTCAAATATTTCAGTGTATATTGTTTTTTAAATATATTTGTTTATGAATATTATGTGTTTTATTACTTGTGTGAATCTTTCATCAAAATGCAATATATACGCATCGGCAAAGGTCCAAGCCTGATTAGCTTGGGCGACAATGCGAAAGCCAATCAGGAGGGTCTTCTCCACCACTCTCTATCTATAAATATTAAGTATTTTCCTGTAGAGGCATAAGCCTATAGCAGGTCTCCTACATACCATCTAAAATAGGTACAAAAAACAATAACTAAACGATTTCAAGGCAATTCACATACGTTCTCATTAACGAGTCTACCAACGAGGTCGCAACGCATTGTTGCCAATCCTCGCTGAAGATGTCCTTTGTAGTTATGGGCGAAATATTTGGAGATATTCTCTACATTGAACCACGGCTACCCAGCCCGGGTAACCAAAGTTTGAAGAATCTAATGGTCGATCGGTACTTCGTCAGGATTTGTTGAGGCGATAGCTTGTGTAGGTTGTACCTAGCCCAAACACTACCTTGCTCCTTGCGCTCGGGGATGAAGCCATTCTTTGAGACTGTTTTCAGATATTTGCTTATTGGAATTTCTTTCTGACGTTTTATCGGCGCCGGCATCTTCAGGAATCTGTGTTATCACTACCAAGGATGTTAACCACTCGAATCATCGATCCATCAGAAACAAATTCAAATTTTTGAGATATCATTTCCCAAACTAATAGTTTGTTGATTATGACGTTTTTTTATTTAGATCTACTTTCTAATATGAAATTATTATCAACTTGAAGAAATGTATTTTCAAACAATTTATATTCAGGTTCTGGTGAAATAATGATAATGACATATTTGCATCAGTTATATATTTCAATGCGTATAACTGTATAGTTTCATGCAGTTACAAATGAAGAGTTCGAAAACAATGCATGTTTCGTACACCTTTCATTGAAATTCAGAAAAACCTACCTTATTGATATATCAAAAAGTACATAAATTAACAACGTACTGTACTAGCTAACTGGAAAAGTTCAATGAGGTGTCTGTAATGTGTAATACATTTTTTTTGATACAAATGAATTTATGGGTTGCTTACCAAAAAGTTTTTACAGCTCGTTATATGCCCTAATGACAATGTTATATAAACGAACATTGCTGAATAGCTGACTATGACTGTCCATGCAGTGGATTTCGAAAGTTCTTCAATTTCGTCCTGGATGGATCTTTCGGCATTGAAAGCAATGTCCATGAAATCTGGTCGTTCTTCGACATCATATTTTTTCAATAGGGATATAAATCTGAAATGATTGACACATTTGTCCAGTGAAGTTCACGAAGAAATTGAGTAACAATAATGACTATAATATTATGGGCAGAGGAATAATCAATGAATATGTGTCTAATGAGTTCAAATAGCGTTGGTATAACAAATTTACCAGTCTATTTTACCAAGTAATATTACAATATTTCAATATTTTCAAGATGCACTCTTCCTTATTTCTGTAGGTTAGTATTTAGTTAGTACTGATAGGTTTTTCTTTCCTTTTTTGTTTTTTTTTTAATTTTCCATTTTATTTTTATTTTTTCAACTTTTCCTACTTTTGTAATGTTTTGTTCAATAAATGAGTTATCAAAGAATTCATATATATACACATTTTTTTCTCTTCTTTCCGAGGCAGTAGATTTCGAGTCGCTCACAAGAACTCGGCCTTTGGCAGACCACAACTTGACGAATTTTCAACTAATCCAGGAACTGAAGGTAAACGACCATAGACAACGATGTGTGTTCACTAAATGGGCTCTAGACCAGTTGGTAACTGACCCTTATTCTCATCGAAAAATCATCTTCAGCGATGGGGCCCATTTCTGGATGAATGGGTACGTGAACAAATGAAATTGTCGAATTTGGGACAATACCAATCCTCATGAGATCCAAGAGCGTCCAATGCATCCCGAAAAAGCTACTGTTTGGTATGGATTTTGGGTTGGCGGCGTCATCGGTCCATATTTCTGTGATAGTCCAGTCATTTCAGGGGGTTTGCCTAGGAAAGTGGACATATACAGATGTAAATTTGAAAACTTTGTATTTTGACATCATGAAAGTATTCTCGAAATTCACATATGATTCGACGGCCCCAACTTCATAAATTGGGGGTCCAAAGTCAAAAAAACCGACTTTCTGCACGTTTTTGCCAATATCTCGTTTCCAATGGATTTTATGCTAATTGTATCCATTATCAATACTGTAGAGAATCAAATTCTCTACAACTTTTGTTTTTCAATATTTTTTCATAGGTTGAATCGTTTTTGGGATAGAGGGTAGCGCGAGCGCAGATCAAGTATTATTTGAAATCAACTGGTTGTCCCGATCGAAATCAGCTCATTCAAGGTTTATGAATCATTACTTATAATTTATTCATTTATTCATTCAATAACACTTACCTGACCGTGTAGTTATAATTTGTAGAGGGGAAAATATATATAATATAATTTAAATCTTATCTATAGTAATTATTCTTTAATGAATAAAAATGAATAGAAAAAAATTATCAAAAATCTCATTCGATACATTGGTGGATGTCAAAATAAAAAAAAAAAGATAAAATAATTGAAAGAATAATGAGTTTCGATTTCAATTTTCTTTTTCTTCATCGTCATCGTCTTCTCGCAGCTGTAAAAATTCAAGAGCGTTATCATCTTCATTGTCATCTCCACCCAGATTCCACAACCACAACCACTTTTGCAGTTACAGAATATCGTATTGAGTAGCTCATCTGGAGCAGGTGGTAAAATGGTCATGATAGGTTCTAGCAACCTATTATGCATTGTCCAACCCCATTCCTGGGGTTCCAAATCATGTCCTAACCAAGTTTGAACTTGGTAATAAACACGATTGAAATGTTGGTGAGCTGCTCCACTTGTTGGTGGGATATTTGATAACTGCACAGATTTATTAAGCTTTGTCAGCTTGACATATTGTGCATAATGAAGATGATCTTTCGTATTTACAGAACTCGAAGCATTATGAACAGCTAATAAAGTTTGCAATCCACTATCAAATAATCTTTGAACCGGGCAGTTTTCTTCTTCAAATGCTGCGGCAAGTTCGTTCAAATTAGATAGTTTCTCGAATGTTCTTTAAAACGTATTTTTTCCTTTTTTTAAAGAGCGCAGAAGTCGTATCACAGCTGCTTGAAGCGTAAAGGAACACTTAGAACACTTATTTCCGTTTTCACATTTGCTTTTCCAACTTTTTTAAAGGAAAATTCTCATTCAAGAAATAGTGTACGCCCAATTAAAGTCACAAGTAAATCAATCATCATCAGCATAAAACCCATTGGAAACGAGATATTGACAAAAAACTGCAAAAAGTCGGTTTTTTTGCCTTTCGACCTCCGATTTTTGAAGTTGCGGCCGTCGAATCATATGTGAATTTTGAGAATACTCATATGATGCCAGAATACGAAGTTTATACAAATATGCAGCTGGGTATGTCAACTTTCCGAAATACAGGCCTAAATCGTCCCAGAATGACAATGATACTATCAATGGCGAGCACTATAGGTCGACGATTACCAACGCTACGTGCCATATATATATATTCTGCACGAGTCATTTGAAGGCGTGGTCATCTCAAGTGGAGGTGACGTAAGCTGGTCATCGAGTTCGTGCGATTTGACCTCGTTAAACATTTTCTTGAGTCGCAGTATGCGAATAAACCACAAACCACATTGGTGCTGAAAGCCAACATAACTCATGCCATTGGTCAAAGCACCAGAGTCATGGAAAGTTGGACGTTTCAGATGAGCCACACCCAGCGAAGCCGTGGCGGACTTGAACGATGTTATATTCTGGTTCACACGACTCGATTTAGCTCTTTTTGGTGACATTTTTCAGCCCTGTCCAAAAATTACGACCAAGGTGTCATTCAATTCGTATTTTTTCCTAGAAAGTTCAAGGGAAGGTCCGAAAACGCGCCGATAAAAATTACAAAAGTTATAAACAATTAAGTGAAAAAAAATGGAGCTTTAGTTTTTTCTTAATATCTCGGAAAATTTTCAAAATTGTGGAATTTTGAAAAAAGATTTGAAAAGATCAATGAATTTGCGTAAAAAGTTTCAACTCTCGAAACTGTATCTCGATTATTTATAATTTTTACAGAGCCCTGAAAATAGAGCCAAAAGCGGGTAGTCTGGCTTCCGCGCGCCTTTCGTCACTCT